GAATTTTATTTGAATTAAATGGCTAATCTCAACCAATCAGAAGTATATAAATATTATGATATAGAGAAAATTGATAAATTAATGATTTGGATTTTATTAATATTTGATCAACTAACAAACCAGATTATTTCTAAAGTCTTCTATTTTTGAGCATTTATTTAAATTAATTTATAATTTAATGTATTATTATATTAAGAATAATAATCATATTCGTAAAGCAGATATCCATTCTGTGGTTTTAGTCTTTTTTGAGTTTTAATTCAATTTATCCTACTTTTTTCTTGTTTTTTTAAATCAAATAATTCAAAATAATTACTAAAAGATGAAATTTTTATTTAAGAATATCAAATAAAATTAATAATTAAATTGTAATAATTTATAACTTGTCAATTTTCTTCATATTTTCTTATTTGAATTTTTTTTTATTTATTATTCCATGTAATCAAATACTCTCCATCATCACTCATTTATCCATATACTATATGTGTTCCAAATTCAATTGATTATTCAAGGGCTAAATCTCCATTTTGCTTTTTCCTAATTAGATTAAGATTTTATCCGTTCTTGCATATAATTAGGCATTTCTACTTAATATATTATGAAGGAAATTAATAATTATCATCTGAATATTCACTTTTAACCATAATGTCTTTTGTCTTTAAAAACTATTTATTAGTACTATTCATTTGATAAATCTGCATCTACTCTTTACATTTAGGTTAAAATGTGAAAACTTCATCATTAATAAAACATATTCTAATACCATACTATTCAACTGTTATCTTTTATATAACATTCCATTTTTAATTATGTGATGATTGTTCTATTACCAATATTAAATTATCACATCCGCAAGAAATCACTTTATTTTATTAATCATTAATACTTAATCCATATATATCATTAGTATGATCTGTGATTGTTTATGAACAAACCCATTCATTTTGTTTTATCCAAAATTTAATTGTTTAATCTCCACTACCAGATATGATTATATCTTCATTATTGTTCAATATTAAACAATAGACATAATGTGTATGTCCATTTAATTTTAATTTGCAAATCCATTAATTATTTTCATTCATACACCATATTATAATAGATTTATCATCGCTTCCTGATATAAATTAATTAGATTTCTTCATAAAATTTAAAGTTCTAACATCATCAGAATGCTCATTCAGAAGCTGAGTTTATTTCAATTATTCTTCTTTGAAATCAAACACTTTAATCTATTTAACACAAGCCACTACCAAAATTGAATTATCTTTATTAATCGCTATTGCTCTACACCATTCCTTTTATTTAATAACCTTTGTTTAATTGTAAGTGAAAGGCTTTAATTATTATTATTATTAAGAACTAATTTATGAATGAATAATTAAATGTTAAGTTTATTTAAGATTAATTGATAGATCCAACTCTTTTTATTTAAGTTCCAAGAATATCGATTTATTTAATGATTAATCCATAGTTTCTATCATTATTTAACATCCAACTTCTTTATTACTTTCTTTTACTTTACTTTTCATATCATTCACTATTAATATATTATTAGTTAATCCATTTATTTTATTATATTAACTTTCTTAACATTCTTATAAACATAATACAGTATCTTTTATAACTTCATTTATTTAATTATCTTAATAGTTATATTCATTTAATAATGGATCTACAGATATAGATTAGTTATTTAAGTTGCTGAGTTCTAATAAAATTTTAATAATTTCTTCCTTAGACATTTCTTCCCAAGATTTATTCATTTATAATCTAGTTGAATCTAATTTAATTGAATATTCATCATAATGATCTTATAAATTCTTATTTGCGTTATCTAGAGATTTAATTAAGTCTTTTTTCAGAATTCCAAAACTTTCAGAGATAGATTTAATTTTATTTTTTAATTAATTTGAATGATTCTGCATGTTTTCCAATCTATTTTAAGAAATTTCTCTCCATTAATTTTAGACAAATTTTACTGATTTATAGTTAAGCGAAGAATAACTATCTAAACAATATTAACAAACAATCCGCTTTGAACTTGTTCTTTCTTAACTTAAGTCAAATAGAATAATCTTCTCTTAATGATCCTCACATAACAGATTTAAATTCTAAAATATATTAAGTTTTCTTACTTATATTTCTTCATCATGATGCTCTTTTTCAATTATTGTTTCAATAACAAATGTCTTTTTTAAGTTTAATATACATTTGCTTAATAATTCTGGTTAATCCAAAGTTTGAATTAACTAATCAATATCCTTTAAAAATGCTGTCTAATTTAATTTAAAATTGTTCTCTTCTTCTTTTATAAATCTTAAAAAAATTTAATAATCATTAGATTTTTGTGACTAGACTTTATTCATAAAGTCTTCTTCTATCTTTTAAATTGATTATGTCCACTTTTTAATAGAAGTACTAATCTACTCAATTTATTAGATATAGAAAATTTTCAACTAATCAAGACTTTCACTTAATTTATATATATTTTCTAGATTAATTTATAATTAATGCGTTCTATCTTCTTTAAGTAACTGCTTAGCTTAATTAATCTAATTGATAGAATCTTAAATATGCATGACTTCTTTTTTATCTTTTACAGCCCAACATTTTGTGCATAACCCTCTCTTTTAAGCACTTTATTCTTTTATGTCTATTGCCACAATATCTTCAGAGTGTTCTGAACATTTTTCTAAATAGATCATATTTTTGATCATTATATATACTATAAGTGTTTAGTTAAAAATAAATCATTGTTTTGTATTGAGAAAAGTTTAATAGAATTATGTAATTTTATATAATAATTTAGTTAATAAATCTTAAATTAAGATATTTTATTCTGTTTCTATAGAAATTGCATATATGTTAGATAAATATAAAAATAGGATAGATTTGAAAGAAGCAAGACAACTTACTTAAAACATTAATCAAAAATTATCATAATTATAACATATCAATAATGAATAAAGAGTCTTTTAGGTTTAGATGAAATTCATTTAAATACTCCATCTAATATTATCTAAAACTAAGAATATTTAATTTGTTAATTAAGGATGAATAGCGTATATAAATTCACAAATTTTCAATACTAGAAAAAAATACAACAATAAACATCTCATCATTATTTTTTTATCTATTATTTAAAGTCTAATAATTATTGCACAATAGGTATATAGAAGGTTTATGATCACATAATCTTAAACTAGTTTTTAATTTTAAATTTAAAAGTATTCTCATTAAAAATATTTACTCTAACCAAACTTGTTAGACAAATTTTGAATAATTAGCAATATTTAATTTCAGAGCAAATATTAATTTGTTAGGGATTTTCATAAGTAATTGAAATGAAATTTTAATTATCTTTTAATCATTCAAGTTTATAACTAGAATATTATTTTTGACGATTCTGTTAAAAAAATACATAATTCTTAAATAAATTATTTTAATATTGATTCATTATAGTTTAGCTCAAATAATCATTTCATCTGAAATAAAACCAAAAAAAATTAAAAATGAAAATTTTATTTGAGATCTTTGAACCCAGATGTCAAGAAAAATGAAAAGTATGTAAATTGGTGACAAGAATAAGCAAATACCTGAAAATAAGCTTTAGTTGTAATTGTATCAGGTTCTCTTCGTCTCTCATTTCAGGTATTGTATTAGGTCATAGATTTAAAAAGGTGTAAGAAGGTTAGCAACCTCAGGTGCTTGAATCAGAAAAAGTATGACAATCCAGGAAATACTTTGATTTCTATACAAAATCTGGTTATCATAAAAAGAATTTAATTTTATTTATAGTTTTTTGTCATAAAAAAAAGAAAATTCAATCTAGTTATTATCATTCACCTAAAATATTATGCAATATAATCAATTGATCATTTTTGTCTTTAAAAAAAAGGGATTTGGAAATTAAATTTTCTATTTCGATTTCAAACAGTTTTTCATCCCTAACAGATTTAATTATAGCAAATTAATTGATGTAAAGTTCAAATATATTAACAACAGTTTAAATTTATAAATATAGCTCATTATCCACCTAGATATTATCTTCCAAAACAAAAAAATAGCTTTTTATTAAGAATTATTTAGAGTTGGGTTATTTATTTTAACTGAAAAAGGAAAAATTGCCAATTTATTATAGACTTTTACTCTTATAGTTTGCTTATAAAATTTAACAATAAAAATATCCTATAGACTACTTTAATTTATTTATTTATAAATGAGCATCTAAATGTACAATTCTCCATACCTCATATATTTTCTCAAGAATTATATTTTATTTCATGATCTATAATTTTATCTTTAAATATATTAGATTTTCTCTAAGATCCTTCTTTCTTTATATTTATCAGGTTATCTTATAACTAAATCTACATAATCTAGCAATTAAAATCAACACTATAATATTGATGAAAGTTTATTTGCTTTAAATTAAAATATTGTATAGTTTATTTTGGATTCCACTACCCATTTTAACTTTTTTTATTATGAGGCACATAAATTTTAATTATTTTTTCTTAGTTGTTGGAACATCTGATTGAATTCTTTCAAAATTTCTAATACATTCTTTAGTATAATCATTAAAATTTTGACTTTAAATTTATATATATTATATACTATTAAAATAGATTTTCTACTGCATTGAAATGAATAAAATTTTGGTATTAAAAACAGATAATCTGATGAATGTGCTTAACTATAAGATTCTTCTTCGCTAAGAATTTGCAAATTTATTCATATTAAAAAAAACTCTTAAATTAATAGAAGAAATAAAAACTATTAAATAAAATTATTCAAACACTAAATTCAATTCTATTCTATACTTATGAAATGATTAGGGATTGAGTGGCTAATATAAAACATTATTCACTTCCTCTAGTTTGAACTACTTAAAAAAAAAAATTGAAAAAGAATTATATTATAAATAAATTATAACATAAATATTCATTAATTTAATAATTTATATGTTGAATATCCTTTCTTTTATACATACCATAAAATCAATATTGACCATTATTTGTGATATTCCCATAAATAGCTTATGTGTATTAATCAACAATTTTAAACTTCCCATTATTGATTTCTCTAATCTTATTAACTTAATTTGATATCATCTTCTTATAATTTTATTGATATTAATTAACAATCTATATTTTTTTTTGAAAATTTTAAACAATTGATGTTAATATATTATTATTTGAATCTCCTAAGTTGACATTATCCTTATTTTGAATATATAAAGTTAAGTTACTGTATAGTTTAATCATCCAAGATATATTGATGCTATTGATAATTCATCATATAAACTGTATTAATTATATTATTATCTTTATATCAATAGATTTGAATCCAATCATCGGCTATTTTAATTAGAAAATCAAATAATTTTATTTTTTATTCTTATATACTTTTCATACAAAATTTTATTCATTAAACAGTTTTTTTAACCCCAACAGTTTTTGAGTTTGATTCGAATTTTTCCATGCATTGATTGAACAAAAAGCTTTATTTCTTGTCTATTTTCATATCAAAACACTAACAAACACATGAATTAGTTAGACATTTTGTTTTAACAATTAAAATCATTTTCATTTTCTTTCATTTTTGGTGTAAACATTAGATTTAATAATAAAATTTCTAGGAAGGGGGTTTGTTATATACATAGAAAAATATTAAATATTTAAATTCTTAAAAGAAACTAAAATTGAAAAAAATACAATTTTTTCAAATATTTAATTTTTAAGGGCACCACACGTGAGACGTCTTTTTAAGCTAATTAAAAAATCTAACTGAAACTCTAATAAAACGATCATAAAATTTTCTATTTTATAGAGTAAGGTATTAGTATATATTTCAAATGATTTATGAAATAAGAATTTTTAATCTCTAGTGAAAAAATGGTCAATTATGTCAGAATATTCATTTTTCTTATATAAAAACATCGTAATTCTCAAGTTTAACCAAAATAGAAACAAAGAAGATTTATTTTATTCTTTTTCTTTTACTAAATTAATAAAAATAATTAATATTTGAATAGAAATAGAAAAATGAAAATAAATATTAAGTAGTTAGTTAGGATCTTATATGAAATAGTTAAGTTTAAAAAATTATTGGGAAACATTAAAATGCTTAAGCTCAAAGAAAAAATGGAAAAATCCTTGCCCGAAAAATGTTGGAAATTATTTAGACAAAAAAGTACTGCTGATGATAGTAATAGTTGAAATAAATTAGAAAGACTTAATGAGAAAGTTTAAGAAAGAGTAGGTATAACCAAATTCAGTTTGATATTCCAATAAAAAATTTGTATAAGTAATTAATAAAAAGTATAATTTAGACAATAGAAAATAGTGAATCTATTTTTATTATGTCTAATTCAAATGTAATAAAATTTAATTGAAAAAAATAACAATTATATTTTAAAAAAATCTTATGAAATATAATTATTTTTTATTTTTAATATTTATCTCATTAATCTTGAAGATTCTATTCTGCCTTTCTAAATTGTTGCTCATGATCAAAAACAGTTATTAAGGAGTTCTCTTACTCATCTTAAATAACTGATTTTGGTGAAGTCTTACAATTCATAGCTGATAATTGTTACAACTATGGAATTGACTTGTAACAACCGTACTAAATTATTATTTATATATGATTACTTTAAAGCCATTTTCATCCTATGAAGGAAGAACTTTTAATATTTATATTATTTTACTCTCACCATTTTGTAATTCTAATGCAATATTAGATTCTTCTGGTGAAATGACTATAGATGCAATCTATTAATCAAAATTAATCTATTAAATTAGTTTGTTTAGTTTTATATTCCAAAATTTTAATTCGTTATCATAAGAACTAATAAGCATTTTATCATCATTAAAAAATATAAGATTAATTTTTATATTATCTTTCACTTTCTAATTCTTCATATGCTAATAGAATATTTCATTTTTATCTTAATTATATATTTAAATATCTCTATCATTCCAACCATAGCCTAAATATTAGCCATTATTTGAAATAGCTAATTGAAATCTATTTTCATTTGAATGCTCTATTTATTCCTCTGAATTATTTTAAAAGTTAAATAAATGCCATTTATTATCATCACTATGCTTATAAATTAATCTATCATTTTGTAATTATAAGCAATTCAATTTATTATATTTTTAGAACCGACAAAAACCTATTATTTTCATCTATTTCTCTCTAAGCTCTAAATCTATAATTCTATATTATTTAAAACATGGTTTTTGCTCAAAAGTATAAAGTATATATTTATTCCCTACATATACAAGCTCTAAATCTTCTGTTCTTCCCATATGTTACTCTAATAAAGGCTTTTTTATCAAGTTTTTATTGTTTTACTGATTTGTAATTTCTTCAATCATACCTCTCTTTTATTTTTTTTTTTTGTAAAAATCATATTCCTTCATCCAAATAAGCTCATTTTCTTTAATTTCAGTTTATCCTTATAACTATGAAATAAGGTAGCATTCATTAGATATAAATATTTGGATTGTATTTTCTTTATAGTTCTAACTAAAATGAGGAGAATATACTAATAATCTTTGAATTTGTTGCTTGGTTTTTAATTCAAAAATAATTATTTCATGATCATCAAATATTGGATATTTTTCTTATGTTATTATAGCTAATTTATTATCGTTTGAATAAATATAATGATCAACAAAAATAAATTAGGGATCTGCGGAAATTTTGTAAAATAATTCAGGTTAATTAAAATCTTTAAAATCATAAATTAAAACTTCGTTTTGTTTTAAATATGTTATTCCTAAAGAATGTGATAATTTTACAAAGATACATTTAGATATTATTTCATAATTTTTATGTTTATCTAGATCATTATTTTACTAATTATTTATAATTAATTTTTTTTGTTCTAAAGTATTCCAAATTACTATTCGATCATTAATATCACTGGATGCCATAAATTTACCATCTTCACTAAAATCAATAGAAATAATATTAGCCTAATGGTCTAAAATTTATTATTCTTAAGTTTTAGTTTTTATATTTTTTATTGAGATTATATTGTCCTTAACAGTATAAAATTATGTTTCATCTTTAAATAGTCCAGCTTAAACTTGATAACCTTCAATAAGCAATGTATCATGACAATCTTTTATAATATCTTAAATGTTTTTTTTTGTAAACAATATTTAATTGGGAAAATCAGAACAATTTTAAAAGGATTCTACATTTTGAAAAAGCTCAAAATCTTGTGGAATAGTTCGAAGTAATTTTATATCATTTAATACTGATGCATCCCAAATATATATGAAATAATAATCTTGAGTTACATAATAATTACTATAAGGTAATAACCATGCAGTAAATTCTTATTTATTTTGAAGAGAGTGAATAAACTTTATTTAGGGGTTTGATAAACTCTGGAATACTATTTAACAGTGGAATGGTGATTGAAATTAACTTTTGGGATCATTTATTTTCTCAAATGCAATATATTCACCATCTTAGGTAAAACATGGGTTTCTAGCACAATATCCAAAGTCGTCTTTATTATACAATTTAGGTTGTGTTTATTTCTTTGTAATTAGAATGTTTGAATTTTCACTTACAGCTACCTCATCATTTAATGATACTTATGTTTGTTAATCATAAACCCCTTAAATAGAATTTAGGTCATTTGTTGTTCCATATTAAAAATAAATTTCATTAGGAAAAATTACTACTAATTAATTATCTTTCACATAAAGAAGGTTTTTAATGTTGATTGCATTATTTATTGGTATTTTAGGATAACTTTTAAATCCATTCTACCAATCAAAATCATATATATATATATCTTCTTCATTCAAAATTGCAAATTTTTTATTATCAATTGAGCTGGAAAAGAATTTTGCTTTTAATGTGCTTTTTAATGAAAAAGAATTGATTTCAGAACGTTCTAAAAATAGAACTATTTCATTACAACAAATTGCTAACAATTTATTTGTAAAGTTTAATTTTATGGATTGCCAATGTCTATAATTCATATAATATTTTTTAATTTCTTTAGGTAATTTATTTTTATGTACTTAATAAAGTTCATATAAAGTAAAACGATTTTAACTTAAAACTCCAATTTGTTCACTATCTGATATTTAGATCATTTTCACTTCTAAATCAATTTTGATTTTTAATATTTCAAGACTTTAAAGTTATGAATTATGACTATAGATTAAATATACATTTATTTATTGATTATTAGCAGATAATAAATAATCACCATTTGGTGACCATACTAAATGAGTTTGATGTTATTATGTGTCAATTTTAATTCTAATATTTTAATCTATAAATTCAATTTTTTAATTTTATAAATAACAAAAATTGTATACAAATATTTGCTTATCCATTGTTTCAAATGCAAGATATTAAGTATATTCTATAATTGCAAAAATATTAAATTGAAATTCTTTAATAACTGTCATTTCTTATAATTCTTTTATCTAATAAGTATGAGAATTTATTCTTTATATTAGAAACTAATAGTTTATATAAACTATCTCTTAACATTCTTCTTTCAAAATTACAATTTTGTTTTATTTTACTTAGTAATTATTTTGTATATCATAAAATATGATTTAATCTTTTGTTATTAAAATCAATTCATTTTATTATGAAAATACATATCTTGGTAATTTACCATTAACCTTTTAATAAGGTAATGATTTAGCAATTTAATATTTTCCTTCCTTTTTTAACCAAATATTTACTTAATCTTCACTAATTGAAATGAGAACATCATTATTAACAGTTTATTGACCAAGATTTGAGAATTCAATTTAAAGTATTTAACTTTATTAAGTATTAATAGAATCATTAAATAGTTATTCAGGTTTATTATTAATTTTATTCCATTTCAATATTGATCCATCTTTAGTACCTAATAAAACATTCACATCATTCTAACCATTTATTGTAAAAGTTGTGATATTTACATCTTCATAATCAATAATTTTATTTAAATCTTCAATCTAAATAATTTTCTTCTCCCCTGCTTTCAAATTTATAACTTCTGCTGTCTCTTCATTATAATATTCTTTATTCAAAATTATCAAATTTTATTCTTCCTTATTAAAAAATGTCAAACATTATAAATAAGGAAAATAAGATTTTTTGCACATCAATAAAATTATATCATTATTTACAAAACGATATATCATTATAAATTCTTGAGATTGCAATAAAAATTTAGTTGAATCAGATGAAAAAATACATTACTTCAATCCTTACGGTTATTTTATTTTCTTAATAATTTCAGTTTTTTAATTCCTTATATAAACTAAATTGTCTATCCAATATATCAAAAAGTTGCCATCAGGAGAAAAGATCATCCCTTCTATTCTTTTTCTGTTTTCTTCCTTTAAAGTTACAATATTATAAGGTATTGTTGTCCATTCAACATCTAATAAACTGGTATTATTAAAATTGCAATAATATAATTGAACCTTTGAAAACTTAGATTAATCCAAATTACTACCAAAGAAATTAAGACCAGAAATATTAGTACCATCTAATTCAATTCCACTTAAATCCTCTCCTATTAATTCCATTCCTAAATAATTTATCAAAAATATGCTATTAGATGCTGCAAATTCATATCCTTTCTTTTTTGAAAGCTTTACAATCTTAATCAAATTTTCTTTAATATTTTCAAAATTTAATAAGTCTTCTTTGATAAAATCTATTACTACTTCAAATTATTTTTTATTCAAATCAAAGTCTGCTTTGTTATAATCACTATTTAATATCTCTTGATCGTTTAAAGTTTCAAATTTTTTTATAAACCATAAAATATATTTTCCTACAAAAAATTCCTAAATAGATTTATGTTAAAAACTATATGCAAGTTTTCCAAGTTTATCTTCCTTAATTAACTTGATTAATCCACATTTAAAAAAAGTGGGATATTCGTTATCATGCTTAAATTCAAAAGTTTTAAAGCCTTCATTTCTAAGTTTTTTTTATGTAAACTCATATTTTTCATTTCTATTCATTATTATAGCTAACTCAATTTAACATTTATTTAATTTACTTTTGAAATCTATTTCTATTTCTATTTACTATTTTTAGAGTTTCTCTTTTTATTCCTCATGATATTTCTTTATATATAATTTATAAAACTCATATAAAGTAATATTTGATAATTTTACTGCTGATTTAATTATAAGTAAATCATTTTCTGATATTATTTGCTTTTCATTTTATAAATGCTCAATTTCAAAATCATCAAAAAATGGGGTATTATCGAATAACTCTTTCAAATTTTCAACAAAATCATTCTCATTTAAAATTTAATCATTCATTTTAATTTATTATTACTTTACTTTTGCTAATTCAAGCAAAAATTTGTTTTTTTTAATTGTTTTAATTAATTCTAATTAACTTTCATCAGTGAGGATATTAAGTATAATTTTGAAGGCTTATGGAGTTTTTATCAAATTTTTGATATGATTATTTTAGATTTTTCTCTTCAATTAACTTTGACTTTAAAATCTTTTCATACTTTCAAATAATTCATCCAAATCATTTTTTGATGATAAAGACTCAAATTCATAAATTATATTCAATTTTTTATGCAATTTTTCTAAGATTAGTTTATTAGAGAAAATTTATTTAGATTTCAAGTTTTCTGTTTTTAATACTATTTATTTTATATCTTCAAATAAAAATGCTTACCAAATTTCTTAAAAATTATCATAAGTATTTTCAAATATTTTTTTATAATCTTCATATAATTTTTATCTAATCATTTCGACTGAATGTTATTCAAGATATTAGTTAATTTATAATTCATCAAATTCAATTATTTCAGCTTCAATCAAATTTTTTTCACTTGTTCCAGTAAAATCTTTTTTGTATTTTTCATCATTTAGCGATTCCTTTCTTGATGTTATAATTATTTTTACATTTTTACCTAATTATTTTTTAAAATATTCTTTATCTTTTATTAAATATTTTGCTTAAAATTGTTATTTCATCTCGTCATACCCATCCAATAAAAGAATAATTTATTTTTCACCTTTTATGACATCTTATTAAAAAATAAATAATTCATCTCCAACAAGTGGAAATGTAATTAATATTTGATTAAAAATTGATTCTGAAGTCTTTTCATAGTCTTATAATTTATAATATAAAGGAATCCATTTTTTTATTTTTAATTAAGAATCATAAATATTCCATAAAAACAATTCAAGTTATTATAATATTTTACTCTTACCTGAACCTGCCAAACCTTTTATAAGTAAAATATCATTTTAATTCTTATTATTCCAAAGAAAATTGTTTATTTCAGCCTCCAATTTTATTTCGCTAAAAGCATCAATATCAAATTCTTCAAATAAATCTTTTGGTTGTTAATTATTATTAATCTTAACTCTTAAAGGTACATTAATTTTTTTAAAATCCAAATTATCTTATTCATCATCAGTGGAAAAATAATTTTATCTGGTTTATTTATAACAACTTAATTTAGTATTATAATCTTTTTTCTCTATTTTTTGATCTTCTATATTCTCCAATAGAAATTCATCATCATATTAATTTTCTTTAAAAGTTAAGTCTAAAAAGCTTTTAATTGCTTACTCGCATTATCTCTCAAAATAATCTTTCTAAATATATGTTTTCAAGTATTTTGAGAGTTACTCAAACTTCTAATTTGTATTATCAGCTATTTAATTATCTTATTTCTTTTCTTAAAAGCAAAAGCTACTATCATATTAAATTAAATTAACAAGTATTTCAAGAAAGTTGTAATGAAATCTCCAATTATTATTATCTTTAATAAAGAATTGAATTTTTTTCAATTAATCAACAATTTCCTCAATATAGATATTTTCTTTTCTTTTCACTAATTAGATTATGTTCCACTTTAATTATTGAAAAATATGATATAAATCTTGAGATGGGTCATTATTATTTTATATTAATTTTTAGATCTCTTCAATATATTCTTCAATTTTATCATATTCAAAAGTTAAATTTACTTATTATTGATTTTATTCATTCAACTCTTTTCTTATTATATTCTTAATCAAACTACATGAGTAATCAAATATTTGTTATAAGTCTAATTAATTTTAATTATTTTATTCAATATTTTTTAATAAATTTTCAAAATTATTGAAATAGCTAATATATTTATTTTTTTAATCATCCATTCTTACCTATGAAGATAAAACTTAAAATAATTATAAAGTAAATTAAAGCAAAATATACCTTAGATTTTTAGTAGTCTTTTTTATATTTAATAAAAGGGATTTAATAGAATTGCAAAGTATTTAAAGTTGTCTTTCATTCAGGTAACCCTAATTACATAATTAATTAAGTATTTCTCCATTTGAATTAAACCATTATACTATTCTTCTTAATTACTTTATCAACTCATCTGAATTTGTTTTACCTTATTCTATTTTATCCTCTATTATCTTTGTTAAAAGAGAAGAATTATATTATAAATATTCAAAAAAATCTTATTTAAAAATATCTTATTCTTCACCTTGTGATTGTGAATTTTCATTTTTTTAAGTATTTTCATAGGCAATTTATTATACTATATTTCCATTAGTATTTTCATTGTGAATTTTTGTTGAAAAATATTAATAATTTTAGCACAATTCCTTAATCATTTGTTATTTATATTTATAAAAAAAAATCTGATCAAATTAAACTAAAATCCTATATTAGTTATATATATATCAATTAAACTTTATATATACATTAGAATTTAGTATCTATCTATTAGGGGTAAAAATAAAAAGATTTATAAATTCTAATGATTTTTTCAAATATATTTCAAATTCTATATTAACCAGAATGAATAACGATAAACCATTTAGTATTGTTCTGGAGTCTAAATCATAAAAGCTCTTTATTCTCTTAATTTTCTAACAATGCTAAAAATGGATATCTAAGCTGTTTTCTAATTTAATAATTATTTAATCTAACAAATAGACAAAAAAGTTCCAGTCCTACCTATTCCAGCACTACAATGTACCACAGTTCTTTTATTTTTCAAATAGGAACTATTAGATATATTTGCCAAAGAATCAATAAGTTTAAAGTAATCTTCATTAACAATTCCAAGATCAGGCCATCCATTCCATTAATAATGGTTTATTAATTTTTCTTATTATTGATATTTAATTATAAATTAATTTAATATTAAACCTCCATTTAACTCTTCTGTTTTTTATAGCTTTACTTGATAAGGTCCATAATTATTTGATAATTCTGGCCAATATTTTTCACATTATTTCTATTTATCAATAATATTTTACATAATTATGATCATATAATTTACAAAGCATAATTATCACTCCAACTTCATTTGTCCAAATCATATGCCAAAAATCATTAACACTTGATTGTATTGGACCCTAAGTTGCAATATATTTCTTTTCATCATTTTCTATTCCTCTAATATAATTCCCATTAATGTAAAATTCTTCATCTATATTTGATTTTACAATTGTGTGTATATCTTCATTATTTCATTAATCATTTACATGGTAAAATATCTATATATCTATTCAAATGATGAATCTTTTCATTCCAATAAAATTATTTTTCATGCTCTTATGTCTCTGTTATTTAACATAAATAGTTGAATTCTTTATCTAATTTTCTTTAATTAAAAGATTTGACAAATTCATTAATACTTATTGGCATTTCGTATTTCATAAAGTGACTATCATTTATTTTATATGATAAATCAATTGGAAGTTATTAACTCTCTTTATATGCATTCATAAATCAAAAAATTTATATAAATTAATTAATTTTAATTAATATAATACATTTAACAGCCAAAATATTTTACAAATGTAGAAAATTAGGAAATTATTTTTGCCTATCTATTTATTTTTTTATTTATTTATATCACTAACAACCAGATTAGTGAAAATTCATTTTATCGATTATTATTAATAATAATGAATTTTTATTTAGAAAATAACAAATATAACACATTAAAGTACATTGAATTCTTTATGTTACACTTAATTCAATCCAAACATTTAATATTTTTCAAATTAAATCTATAAAAATAAAAAAAATTTGATATTCAATTTTTATATAAAATGTCTCAAAGTCTAAATATAATAATAACCTAAATTAATCTTATGTATCTATTTTATATCATCATCTATTAATAAGAATCTCATTATTGAAAATAATTTTGAAGCTATTGATTATATTTATATAATTTTACTTTTATAATTGATATTATAAAAAAATAGTTCAATATACATTTTTCAAATAATAATTAATTTCTTTTATAATTCTTAAATACTATTTATGCAATCTAAGAAATCGAATAAATCGAATAAATCCTTGCCTCTCAAAAAAGATTTTATAAAAAACAAGTGGAATTTTTAAGTTTAAGTTCAATCACTAAAAAAAGAAGGTAAAGTAGAAGAAGCTATAGATTTTTTATGTTCAATATTAAGTACTTAAATATCTAACATAATTATTTACCAAAACTTGGGTAAAATTATTTCAATATTTAGCAACCCTACTAGAATAAAAGGATGGATTATAGGAAGTCATCGATTTATGGAATTTTGGAATAAATAACAATCCTAAAAAGATTTCTTTTTATATAGAAAAAAGTGATTTTCTCTTTTTCTTATGATTAGGTTAATGCTTAGAAAGAACAAATAAATTAGAAGAAGCAATCAATTGTTGGGATCAAGGGATTTAATCAAATAAAAATAAATATGAATTTTACAAGAAAAAAGGTAATAATATATTATAATTATTAGCAATACTTTTAGAAAAGTATGATAAATTTAGAGAATTACTCAATAACTGGAATGATGCAATTTAAAATGATTCTAAATAAAAAGTTTATTACTAAGAAAAAGGTACTGTTATTTGTTTATAAAATATTTTAGCAAATGTCTTAGAAAGTTAAGTTTAGTAAGAAGAAATTGTTTAATATTGGGAGGATTTGATAAATCTAAATTAAAATGATATTTATTTCTATTTATAAAAAGGTATACTTCTTTGAATTATTTTTAGCTAAGCTTTTAGAAAGATTAGGTAAATTTGAGGAAGTTATAAAATGTTGGGATTAAGGAATTGAAAAAAATTTATCTAATCTTAACTTCTATTTATATAAAAGTATGAAAAATTCATATTTAGCTTCTGCATTA